ATAAAGTTTGATCATGTATACAATAAAATACCCGAGTAGCACATTTCCGTCACAATAAGTTGGAGCAACTTGTTTATGACTGATATAAGTTGTATAGAAGTTGCCACAACAAGCGTGCTACTAGGGTAATCAATGGGTACTTAATGATGATTGACCAATTTTTGAAATTCCGAATTTTTGAGACTGGCTCAAGTATAACATCTTGAACGTTTTTCCCATGTTCTTGAATCTTAAAAATGTTTCGAAGTCCAGATATTTTTCTGTTTCCACAATTTCTTATAGGTGCAGGATTTTTGAAAAATAGCTTATGTCGTGATATGCAAATTTTACAAATCATAAAAAACAGAACCTTTGGAATTTTTATTTATAAGATACTAGAAATTCTCTGCAGGGCACTCTTTTCAAATTTTGCTTCTTTTCTTCAATTTTTTAAAGATTATTCCAAGTTCACTAAAGCTTAACTCTATAATTCTAATTAAAAATCGATTTAAAAATACTGAATTTATGAATTTGAAATCCCGGACTTCCTGGTTGTCAATGATAGTTTTCATGTTTTGATAAAAATAGATAGAAGTGATGAATAAATATACAGCTTTCCCCCGAGGAACGCGTTACCCACCGCTTTTTCTCGGCGGGTTTTTAACCAGTCACTTGATTTTTTTTTTGCATGTGAGTAGTGTCAATGGAGAACTATTCATTCGCAGAAAATTAGAGCGACTCACTACGGAACAATTCGGTAAAAGATTGAAAAATCAGTGAAAATTTGGAAATTTATTCCGAAAATGTATGGAGCTAGTTAACCCCATTAAATGATGCAAATATAATTCGTCAATTTTATTGATTTCATTCGAGTAACAGTCATTTCAAATTTTACCGATTTTTGCAGCTGTTCAAAAACCCGATAAAATTTACCGACTTCGGTGATCCGAATTCAGTATATAGCTAGTATTTTCTATACATACAGGTCCAGCAACGACGTTTCTGTTTGGACCCGAGTGCAAACATTAAAACTAAACACACTTTTTTTTTTGCTAATCAATTTTTCTTGTGTGGGGTAATTGAGACAAGTAATATTCACTTTAATACATTGAGGTAAAAAGGCTTCTAAAGCAAACCCCACACGCATCAATATATTTGACGCGAAGGGGAATTATTGACAATAATATTGATGATGTGAATTCAGAAATATTGTCAATCTCGATGTATTGACGTCAATATATAATGTATTGACAATATGATTATTGTCAATAAAAGCAATCGTGTACGGTCCACTTAAAGTGCACCCCACACGATAGAAGTTTCGTCAATATTTCCATCAATACTTTCATTTCAATATTTTCAACAATATTTTTTACCCCCATCAAGCCGAACCTGCCGTGAAAAAAACAATCATCAATCAGCCAGCCTCTCATAGTGGATTTAAAATAAACAGTTCCATCCCGGGATGCAACAAACCAAGCCATTTGGAAGCCCCTTATTCCCCCATCACAGTCGTGTCTCTCCGGCCAGCGCTCAGTAGTCATCCCGGACCTGTGTATGGGTACGGAGATGGGGTCTTCCAGGCACTACTTCAGGTAAGTTCACTTCCTCTGTTTGCCATTATGTACCTGATACTCGCTACGTTTCCAGCCGAATTCCTTCATCACATTATCCTGCATCATCATTCATCAGACCACTGGGATGCATGTCTGCAAGCCTCATGGAAGCCCCTAATCCTCTCATTGCAGTCGAGCCCCCCCGGCCAGCGCTCTGCAGTCATCCCGGTCCTGTGTATGAGTATGGAGAGGGGGTCTTCCAACCAGTTACCACAAGCAAGTATGCTCACGTTACGAACTATGCACTTCCTGAATCGTCTATTGCTTCCAGTTGCTTCATACCACCACGTGTTCGTGTGGAAAACAATATTGCCAGCGATAAGCCATCTGCTATTCCTATCGAATTTATGACAACGGGGAGCATGCAGCAAAGCATTTTGGAAGCCTCTAGTCCTTTAGGCACAGTCGAGCACGTCGCCGTTTCCAGAGTCTACTCAGCATCACGTTCCTGCCATCAAAGCCGCCCCGTTCCTGTGCCTGAAGTAAGATTAGAGGTCTTCCAGCCTGCACTTCCAGGCGAGTACATAGACTGCAGAACAATTTCTTTCCCTGAACTTCCACTCGTTTCCAGCTCGCATCGTGGTTCTATACATTAGCGGATGGCGTTGGAACGTTTCTAAACAGCAACGCCACTGACATTCCATCAAGTTTGACCGGCTCAAGTGACGGAAGCATTACGGAATTCCTACCCAAACTAACACTCTTCGGAGACAACCCGATCAACAAATTGCATCGCTTGGAATCAAATCAAAACCAAATCCGTCTGAACAGTTCATCTCTATTTATTACCAGAACGTCAGAGGCTTACGGACCAAAATTGTTCAGCTACGCTTACTACTGTCTGACTGTGATTATGACGTGCTAGTTTTCACAGAGACTTGGCTACGAGAAGACATTGGCAGCGCTGAAATCTCTTCGGATGTGACCGCAGTGAATTGACCAGTCAGTACTCGCGTGGAGGAGGAGTGCTCGTCACGGTCAAAAACAACATCGTTTGTGAACCTGTCACTTTGCCGAACTGCGACCAACTGGAACAAGTGGCAGTTTGCGTAAGGTTGGGGTATCGTTCGCTTTACATCGTCACCATTTACCTTCCGCCGAATTCATGCTCCGACTTATATTCAGCTCATGCAAAAGCAGTTCAGCATATGTCAATCCGTTCTTCAGAAGGTGACATTATTCTATCACTGGGTGACTTTAACCTGTGGAATTTGCGCTGGCATTTGGATGGGGATATGAATGGTTACATTCTCTCAAACGTTTCTTCGGAACACGAACAATCCCTCATCGAAAATATGTTTGTTAACGGCTTCCAGCAGATAAACAGTTTCGTCAACATGAACGGTAGACTTCTCGATCTCGTGTTCGTCAACCTACCTGAGCATCTAGACGTCATCGCACCCTGTACTCCACTGTTACCCGTTAACAATCATCACGAGCCATTCATTTTACTACTCGACGAGAGCAGCGACGATCTGGCTGCAATGGACGACCAAGACGAGAGTTTCAACTTCGATTTTAAAGCATGCGAGTACGATCTCCTAAACAACGCGTTTGCTGGCTTACAGTTTTTTTTTATGAAAAGCTGTACGAAGTTTTTATCGAGCATGTACCTCGGAAAAGGCGACCCATTACCTCAGTTTTCAGCAAACCATGGTGGACTACCGAGCTGAGACACCTCCGGAATAATCTCAGGAAATCACGCAAACGGTTCTTCTTAACAAGGACTGATAGCGACAAAGTTAACCTCCGCGAAGTGGAAACGTCGTACAAGGAACTTCTTTTCTCGTCATATAGAAACTATGTATTGGGAATTGAATCTTGTGTGAAACAAAACCATGCATCTTTCTGGGATTTTGTTAGGAAACAGAAATCTTCCACCCGGATTCTATGTAACGTTCATTACGACCACGACGGAACTCATGCTTGCACCAACGCTGAAGCTGCTGACCTGTTTGGCTGTTTGCGACGTTCTTCGAGAGTGTGTTCACTAATGTGTCACCTGTACTTCGACATGACAGCTTTGCCCATATTACTACACATAAGATCACGCTTCCTGTTCTCCAGTTTTCTTCAGAGGAAATTCAAAAATCTCTTGAAGATGTAGAAACGACAGACGGCATTCCTCCACTATTATTGAAAAAATGTTCGTCCACACTAACATCTCCAATCGCTCGATTGTTCAACCGTTCGCTGCAGAACAGGACTTTTCCAACTGCGTGGAAAACGGCATCGATAGTACCAATCCATAAATCTGGCAGCTGTCTGGGGTGTCTAAACTTTGCTGCCTAAGCAAGGTTTTGGAAAAGTTGGCTTGATATTTGTCCGAGATAATCGAGGAAGAGGCATTATACAAGACCGTATAATGCCTCTTCCTCGATTATCTCGGAGAGCCAGCACGGGTTCATGAAACATCGGTCTACAACAACAAATCTGATGTGTTACGTCACCAAACTGTCTCGTGAAATTGAACAAAGAAGGCAAGTAGACGCGGTGTATATTGATTTTGCTAAAGCGTTCGATACTGTACCGCACATTCTAGTCACTGATAAAATGAGGCACATAGGATTAGGAATATTCCGAATCAAATCACAACCACCTTGATAAAAGTTGACGAGGAACAGGCCCCATCTACTGCTGTAGTCAAGCAGAAGGGGAAAATTAGGGGAAATATTGAAACATGTCAATATTTGTCGACAATATTTGCATCAATATGATTGTCAATACTTTTGACAATCAAGCTGAACATTGCTTTAGGTCCTAAGTAACATTGACAGATTCTCTTCGTCGACTTTCTCTTTGTATCCCCACGACCATGTAAAGTCATTCTCAGATATTTTCAGCTCACAGATCAATAAAAGAAGCTTTTATCTAGCATCTTATACGACATACATAACAAGAAACGGTTTGGTGCTCAAGTTATTAACGAAAGAGAAAGTCGACGAAGAGAATCGATCAACGTTACTTGGGACTCAATGCAATGTTCAGCTTGATATTTGCCCGTGTGCTGCTTGCTTACCGTATTGTCATTAATGTTGTCAATATTCGTATATTGAAATTGACCGTTTTTTGTCAACATATTCTGCGTATTGACAAAGGGAAGTGAACATCAGCTTTTTGTCAATACTTGTCATCAATCATCGTCATCAATATCACCTTTTCAATAATATTGTAAGTATGTCAATTTACTGTCAATATATTGATATGTGTAATGGGCGCTTTAGATTTCCCCTCTTCCATCGTAGCGTATTTAATCATACCGAATAAATGGTCCATCACAACTATTGCATTGATTGAACCGAGAACTGAAATTGACACGAGTTTGTAGAATTTAAATATGACTGATGGTTTCTAAATGACGAGAAAATGAATCGAACATTGATAACACATAGTTTTATTCCACTAGAGACACAAATCACTTCGATTCTGTAGAGAGATTACATGTTTGCCAACATTTTCTCCGCTTCCTCTTTGGCTCGCTTATCATCGTCGGTTCTGTTGTAGATATAAAAAAAAATAGAACCCATTACGATGTGACTCACTATCTTATCTTCTAAAAACACCTTCCGAATCTTACCTGAGTATTCTAAGGTTAGCTAGCTTTAAAAGATACGGTTTTGCCGTATCAAATTCCTTCTGGTCAAAATAGATCTTCCCGATGAGGTACTGATTGTAGTAGAAAAAGTTGGGCTTAATCTCCTCTGCCTTCAGCAGGCACCTAAGCGCATCGTCGTACGTTGGCCGCACCAGTTCTTTGTTCAGCGTGTACACAAACTTCTTTTCGAACCAATGCAAACAAAGCAGTTTCTCGTAGAAACCTCCCTCCAAGTACCACACGAAGGGATCCAATGGGTCCAGTTGATTGGCGGTTTTGATGTGAGAGAGCACATTGACCAAGGACATGATCTGTTGCTTTGGTCCGGAGATTCCAGCCTTTTCGCCGAGGAATATGGCGTAGTATTTGTGCGAAGGGGACGCATTGGGCGATACTTCCAGTAGTTTGGACGAGATGTCGTAGCCTTCGAGGATTAGTTTATCCGCTCGTTTCTTATCCGTTCGATACCACTCTCTGACCAGACTGTACAGAGAATTTGCCAGGCGACGAAGAACTTCATATTTCGGGGGACTCTGCAGTTTTGATCGATTTAAATAACACTTCGCTTCAATCTTTGATCACTGTGGTTGGTCACTTACCATGTGCTGTCGAAGCAGGTTGCAAGCTTCTTCAAATTCGCAGTTTTCAATGAATTGATCCGCTTTGTAAATAACTTCGTCTAAATCAGACATGGTTTCAGATATGTGCCACCAATCGATATGTTCCACCACCAATAAATTGAAAACCTATGTATATATAACAGCTTGTATGAACCTCGTGGTGTCTTATCTCCAACGAGGTACCAACATGGAAATGTTTGTCAACACTGACTGGTTGTAATCGTGACTGACTTTGTAGTAGCCGATGACACTCTGAGCGAACTTCACGCGACAACTGCATACAGGTGAATGATTGCGGGCGGCGAGTGTCGTTAGGACTTAAGTACCGTCATGCCGTGTTATCAGACTCATGCACGTATGGTTTACGTGTTTGGTGACAACTTTGGCTTTGGTGGCACAGGTGACTTAATCTTTCTGCACATTTTTCGCATATATGTCATAATGAGGTAAAGGACCTTGCCAACCAAGTGATGATTTAGCCGGTGTCTTTTTTTTTAGTTTAAGCTGATGCAAATTTTATTTTTCTTTTATGCCAGGAGGTCTATGTAAGGACTGTCCACTTCTATGGAGTCTCACTTTTAGAATGTCCTTTGAATAAGCATTTAATTTAAATCAAATGCATTTAATTTCCATCGTTTGCATCAACCATTCAGTGGGATGTGAACATCGAAACAAAGTATGTGCTTTTTCGGTGACACTTATAAATACACACATGCCTCGAGACGAAGATAAACAAACACAACAGGAAAAGAAAACTCGGAGTAGAGAACTCACAAAAATCTCCCTGCAACCTTCTCTGACAGCAAAGAAACTCTCCAACGGAATCGTGCAAAAGCTCCTTCCGGAATTTCCCCTGCCAATATCAAAATCACGCAAAACCTGCTCCGCCGAGAACGCGAGACAACTCCGCCATCGGAAATCTCCACCGGAATCATGCGGAAGCTTCTCCACCTAAAACACGAGAAAATACCGTACAGATTTCCTTTCCGTTAGCAGCACCGAAAATCACCACCGTGAATGCGAGAAAACTCCGTCGAAACTGGAATCTCCGCTGGCATAATCAACAACCTCCACCATGTGCAGAACCTCTTCCGAGAACGTGAGAAAACTCCGTTAAAATTCCCTGGAACCTCCGCTGGTAGCATCATAAATCGCCACCGAAACCGTATGGAATTTCGTCCGCCTTGATCGCAAGAAAAAGCCATCGAAATTTCGCATTTTTTATGCATTTGTAATATATTTATTTGTCAACATCAACAGACTCAATGTAGCCCCAATGTATTTTATTTAGTCAAACCAAGTCAAACGTAATCCTGGTGGATGAACCCTTTATCAGAACAAGACAAAGTTCCTAAAATCTTCGTTGGCAGCTACTAGAATCGTCTTCGAAAACATGCACGGCGAATGAGAACGACTCAAATTTGAGTTTAGTTCACTCATAATCGCCAAAAGTACAGGAACTCAGCGATGAGTTAATTTGCCTCATGTTTTCCCAGGTTTTTTCAGGATTTTCCAAGGAAAAATTCCCGAATTTGAGAAAAGTAAAGATTGGATTCACTCAGTCTATTGGTACTACTCCGAGACTGAATAAAATGTTCGTCAATTTCATCATTTTCCGGCAGATTTTTTAGGTTTTCCACAGGAAACCATGGGACAAATTTTACTCATCGCTGAGTTCCTGCACTTTTGGCGATTATGAGTGAACTAAACTCAAATTTGGGTTGTTCTCATTCGCCGTGTGCAGAATTTAATTCGCCGAGAAGGCAAAAAAAAATCCGTTGAAACTTCTAGGGTTGTGAACCATTTGCCGGGTTAAATTTAACTCGTGGTTAAAAGTGACATTTCGAAAGTAATTTTCTATGTTCGAAAATCCCTGTGCTGTCGATCGACCGGTTTTCGAGAAGAACTTAGCCAAGGTTGTCAAAATTTAACTTCTTGTCTGTCAGAAGTAACCACGCTCGGATAGCAGGGTTAATCGATAACTTTCCATCTGTCAAATTTTAACCAAAAGTTAAAATAATCCACCAAATGGTTCAGAGCCTATAGGAACTCCCGCTGGCTAGGGTTACCATATCAAAAACTTGAAAAGGCGGACATTTCATTTGAGGTTTGGAGATTAAGGAGGACAATGATTCCCTTTCTTAACATTAAAGGAGGACAATGATAATATGTGCGCTATCACAAAATTGATGATTTGCAAAGGTTCAATTGAGATTGTTCATAACTTGTAGTCGTTACTAATTCAATTTATCTTATAACTTTTGAAAAATGCATCAAACTAGCCTTCATAATTCACTTTTGATACTTGGAAATGATCTAGTCTAGTTGATTTGCATGAAAACTACAGCTTTACAGCATTAAAGCCAACCCAACTTTTATCAAGATCAAAAATTAGGATACATGTCATCGCTGATTGAAACCAACATGGAATATCTAAGCAACCTGTTAATTTTACCATTGATTGACTAAGGCCGCTGCCATAGTGCCGAAGAGGCGCAAAAGAGTTCCTATTATTGATATTATTCCTTACATACGATTTCACGATTCGCGTGCCTCCTCGCTCTCAGTATGGTAGCGGCCAAAACAAATCAAGCGTAACTATTAAAATCGACGTATCTGCTTTTGTAAACAATCTCTTCAATCGACAATTTGTCTTAACTGCTAACTCACCCACGCAAACGAACATCATCATCAGGTAGAAGACACTTTCGCCTATCTACTAGCTGGTGTTGTTAGTTTCTGTGAGTGAGCTTGCAGGTGCCACAAATCGCCGATTGAAGTGATTGTTTACACAATCAGATACATCGATTTGAATAGTTAAGCTTAAAATTTCTAAAATCCCATAGAACCAGAACGTCAAAATCGAACACATGCTGAATTTAAGGTTCAATTTACTTTGATGCTTTTTGGAAAATTTCAAAAGCAGTTTTTTCCAACGCATTATTTCAGATTGCAAAAAGCTCGCACTATTCGATTCCTTTTGATAGGGTAAATGTCGGCTTCGGCACCCATTGACTGTTTTCGGCAACCAAAATTTAAACGTTAATTTCACTATGTTTTCCCATCAACTCACTTCCCTGAATGCATCCAAACGATTCTTTAGTCTTTCAGCTTCAATCTGATTGTATGTGTACGTCTGAGCAGTCCTGTTATGGCAGATTTTTCTTCAAATGAAGCATACGTACTCTAAAATGAGGTCGATTTCAAGTTGCCGATAATAGAACAGCTGGTTAACACGAAGTTCTAATGGTAAAGTTGCCGAAGAAAACGAGGCTGCCGACAATAGTCACACTCACCTGAGAAGTTTGGAGCGTTGTAAAAACGCTTTCAAACAGTTTTGAAGAATTCTGTCGATTAAAATGGATAGAGAAGCAAGCAGCAGATGAATGTAAACCAACAGACACGTCATATATGTGCGTGACGCTGAGAAAATGCTAATAGAAGTGAGGACACTGCTTAGATTGACGAGAATACGTAAATTCCCCTATTTTACACAAAATGACGCGAGCTTTTTGCAATCTAAAATAATACGTCGAAAAAAACTGACTTTGAATTTTAAAAAAATGCATCGAAGTAAATTGAACCTTTATCTGTGTGGCTGTGTTCCATTTGGTGAATTTGAACATAAATTTTACAGATAGAACATTTTAAAATAAACCAGCTATTGTAATGTTCGAAAATCCCTCTGTTGTTGATCTTCCGATTTTTGAGAAATTGTTTGTCAAAATTAAATTAATTCCTGGTTTGTCTGAAATAAGTCTGGTAGAATAGCAGGATAATTTGTAAATTTTCCATCTGTCAAATATACGTTAAAATTCACCAAATGATTCGCAGCCTAACCGTAGGGAGTTGACAGCTGTAGTATACACCTAGTCCCACCATCGAATGGCATTTCCTAGATAAGATGAGGTTGCGACACAATTAAACAAATAAGCTCTGCAAACAACGCTCCTTGAAAACAATTTTATGAATATGTTACTGGAACAAAATGCAAGGATTAAAAAGGAGGATGTAGAAAAAATATTGAAAAAGGAGGCTATGTCCTCCTTTAGGATACCATATGGTAACCCTACCGCTGGCAGCATCCAAAATCACCGAAATCACGCGGAACTTCGTCCATCGATAAAGGGGGGAAAATGCCTGGAGCTTCCGTCTGCAGCATCCAATCTCTTCACTGTTATCGTGCAGATCCTCTTTCGCCGACAATGCGTGGAAACTTCGTCGAAAGTCTCTGGGAACCTCCGTTGGCAGCTTCTGAATTTTCCAGGGGAGTTTCGACGGAGTTTTCAGATATTCATTGTTTCGAGAGATTTCGGTGGAGATTTTCGGTGCTACCAAAGGAGGTTCCAGTGAGCTTCGACGGAGTTTTCTCGCGTTTTCGGTGGAGACGGCTCTGCACGATTCCGGTGGAGATTTTTAATGTTGCCACCGGAAATTTCAACGGATTTTTTCTGCGGAATAATTTTCTCAAGTCAAGAGTGTGGATTTGAGCGAACCGAAGCGATCAACTAAACAGGACAAAACTTTTCATGCATACATGCATGTATTAGTGGGAGGTGTCACTTACAACTACACGCAGCCAAAAATGCACTGAGAAAATGCATTTAATTTTTTTGTTATAATAAATGTACCTCAAGTCGAGCCTCAAGTGATCTGCCCCTAGGTTGTGCTGGTAAGACAACAGCTGTAAAGGGGGATCCGTAGACGTGCTTGAAATGCACAAATATGCAGAAGGAACCAAGAAGTTTGTCCCAAAGAAACCACCTAGCAGAAAGAAAAGTGTGAGGAGTGATGCCGGATCCGAATCTGGAAAAGGAAGTACCAATGAGGTCAGCCTGGAGGAATCCCTAGACCTGTTGCAGCAGGAGAAAAGCGCAAAGGAGAAAACGCTGGAGGAAGAGAAATTCCTCCATGAAAAGCGATAGGAGGCTGAGCGGAAGATTTTTCAAACCGAGAGTTATCTTCTGTCACTCTTTCAACAAAGATTTGGCTAGATTGAGGATTTAGGGATTCAATTATTATTTTAGTTAAGCACGCAAACGATGTAGAATGAGCTACTTACTAGTTACTTAGGGTAAATCAAGTATATAGCGTTTAGGAACAAATTGTAGGTTAGCAGATTTTAGGATCAAATTGTAGTATCTAGATTAAGCAAATATAGGGTTATTAAATTCAATATTTTCAAGAATTCCACCTCCAACTAACCTACTTCAGTAGCTAGTTCACTACAAATCACTACAATTTATTTAAACGATAGGTTCTTACTCCGACCTAAACTCACAGCTCTGTTGAACCAAACCTGACGTCTGTCATTTCTGACAGCGACCGTTACCATAGCTCTCCGAATCTCCCTCAGGGTTGTCGCTGGGCTTGGCGGTACATGGTTATCCCGATATTCCGAACAGCCATGATCCATAAATTAGACGTATATTATTCACGTTTTGAACACTATATTCTTCTTCTTCTTCTTCTTCTTCTTCTTCTCCTTTATTTAACGTCGGTCTCTGTTCGGCAATATAGTGTCAATCACCAACGGACATCGATTGCCAAACTATATTAATAATTTTGATCCATAAACCTTGAAAAATTGCTCCATTACTGCGTAACTACAGGGGTTACTCTAAATAACTAGGATAGGCAAATTTTTGGTCAACTTTGGAGTGTTGTAGCTTCGTCAAATATGATCCGATTTTAAATCTTTCAAAAGCATTTGACTGAAAAACTAATATTGTTCTACGGTGTAGCAACGAAAATAATCCTGGTCACCGGATACCGGAGATATTCCGGGGTTCCGGAGGGCTTGTCTAATTTGCTAAATTTTTGGTGAAATTTTATATATGATGTTGGTTAAATATATATACTTTTAGTGAATACAATGAAAGAAGAACCATTTTTAAAGCGAATCATATGCCAAGAACTAAAATCGGCTTATAATCAACCGAGATATGGCCATTTCCCTGGAATCGGTTCTGGTGAAGGGTTCTGAATGCGGGCAGATCATTTAATCACTCAAAACATGCCGTGCGACAGCTCTTTCTTCATGGTTTCTCGTCAATAGACTTTTGATAAACTTTAAATGCATCATTGACCACATTGGCCACTCTCGGAACATCCAGTATGCCCCCGGGGGAACCTGGAGCAGTGGACAATTGCATTTTTACACCAAAACATGCCGTGCGACAGCTCGTTCTTCATGGTTTTTCAAGAATAGGCTCTCCATAAACTTCAAATGAATCATTGACCACATTGGCCGCTCTTGGATTCACGGGATACCCCCGAGGGATCCTGTAGCAGGGGACAATTGCGTTTTTACTCAAAAACATGCCGTGCGACAGCAAAATCTTCGTGGATTTTCATGAATATGCTTTCTATAGAATTGAAGTGGATTATTGACCACATTGACCTTTCCAGAGTCACTGGAATGCCCTGGGGGGAACCTGTAGTAGGATGCAATCACATTTTTACGCAAAACAATGCCATTGGGGAGCTCATTCTGGTATTCTGGTATTAGGGCATTTTTATTTTTATTCCTCTGTTACAATATCATCATGAACAAATTCTTCTTCAATTTCATCGACTGCTTTCATAAATTCCTCCAAGGCATTGAAGTTATTAGTATCGACTACTGAATCACTTACAGAATTTTGAAAAATCATGAAACTTTTCACGATGTCGTGATAATCCAGGGATACTTTTTTCTGTCGTCTTTTTGCCATCCAAATCGAACTGATCAGTGGGTCCGATTCATTAATGGCACGAATAAAGACATCATGTAAATTTTCTACTCTTGATCGTTTTCTTGCATGATGGGTTCGATATTTTTTCAATTGTTTATGTGACTTTCTGCTGCCTCTTCCGCTAATGAACCAAGTGAATGTATGATTATTTCTCCGGCATGAGCGAGAACTTTATGCACGGTTGCAGGAATTTTGTACCAATCATACAATTTAAGAGAGAGCCTATATGTTTCCTTGCAATATGCATCAAATTTTCCCGGGTTTATTGGCTCTTGGCAGTTAATAGCAATTAATATATTCCGGAAATTGAAAATTAACTCTTCATCAATGTTCAGCACGGAGCTTAAAAGCTTGGGATTTCCAAATGCTCTTCGACAAACGTTTCCTGTAGTACTGGTACCTGCTCCACCCGATCGTGGTTGATCTACTCTTACTCCAATTTTTTCGTAAAGCTGTGTCGTCACATGTTTTTTTCTTTGTTCATATAGTTCTTTAAACGGTTTCGTTACCTTCCATTTTTTGATATCCATTCTGTATGAAATATGCAAAAGGCATTCGAAAAATCTTATCCAAGCATGAAGTGGAGATATGCCGTAATGCAAGGCTTCTTCGTTTGATATAAATCCTTCCTCGAATTTCTCTGCATCATTCATTACATTTGGTGTTGCCCCACATATTGGACAATTCTGCATCGACGAATTTCCAGTGATATAAGTTAAGACTTTTCCGTCTATCATACTGAGGACAAAATCAAAATCAACAAGTATAAACTTGTCGTTTGAGAGTTCAATTTTCACTGGTGTTAGTTCACTCATTTCTTTTTCTACATCCTGTTTTGTAGCCAGAATAACTTCTTTACTCTCTTTAATGAATTCAAGGATGAATAACCTACAAAATCGAATACTTTGAGGCATGAGATTAAACCACATAATTTCCTTTCGATCATTGTACATGAACAACTGAATTGGTGTTAAAGTGGACGAAAATACATCTGAATCGTCCTGACATCCTTCTGGTAGCACTTGATGATATTGCGAATATCCTGTTGATCCGTCCATACCCCAGCTACATAGAAGAACCAATTCCGTAGAAACTAGATCGTTGCTATCCATATACTCGTTGAGCTCTGCATCAATTATTTGGACGATTCGTTTCACTGTATTTTCCATCAGCGCCTGGAGTTTCACTCTTATTTTCAATGCACTTTCTTCGATGAATTCACTAGGAGGGGCGCATATTTTTTTCACTGCTCCGATCACATAGTAAGGTGGAAATCTTGAAGGTGATTCACTATGTATTACTTCGTATTGAAATCTACTCAATCCAGCCTCGATAAGTACACTAAAAGCCTCTTCTGGTGACATCATTCCTCGTTGATCAGTTAGTTGAGCCAGCATGGTTTTAGAGCTTTTTTGGTTTTTTAAAATATGCTCAATAACTTCAACTAAATTAAAATCCTTTCGATTATAAGCGGTCCGTCTTGCAAATAACAAAGCTTTCTCGATGGTATCGAATTTTGGATCAACTGCTTCTTTATCGATGACGCGACGCGACGTTTTCCTCTTTCACTCAAATCCAAGAAAGTTTTTGAAGGTCATCCACGTTTTGTTCCCGAGGCCGAGGTTGAGGCAACACATTGCTCCTGTTCGATGAATTCCTCGATGCCAAATTCTCCATCAAGCCAATTCCGAAAATACGACTCAAATCGCTCTTTCGTGCTTAGCTTCATGCCATTTGTTGATGTATTTAGTAACGATTTTATGGATCGTTTACGTTTTTCCACCGAGATGTTATAATTTTCACAAATGAATTCAATGGCTCTGTGAACATTGTCACTATGGCTTAATTTTGCGTCTAATAGATTAATAATGGTTCTATTATCCATGCTCACACTTGGTCTCAACCGTAAATTTGAATTACACTGTAGTAGTTTAAATAAAAGCTACACAAAATACACTATGGCTTCAAATTGACACTACAGTAGGTTAAGTACAGACTTAGGTATAAATTAAACTCATCCGCGCATATCCGTAGGTACATACTTACGCATATGCTTCTATAATCGTCATAACCCAGGTACTTACTTTAGAATAAAGCATAAACGAATGTAGTTTTACGTTCATCCAACAGTGAACTTTGTGATAATGATGACTTCTTTTTGTACAAAAGCTTAAGCCCTTTTTAAAAGTTGGTCATGAAATATTAGTTCTTCAACAATATTTTTCGCCTATACCAACCGAATATAACTCCAAAAGTTGCAAAATAATTGTTGAAAAAGTTTGTTTCCAAGCCGGCTCTTGTACAATTTGAAATCTCCCATAATAACCGAAAATTTTCAAATCGCTTATATTTCCAATGGGGCAGGTTGGTTCAGGCAAACTCTTCAGTATTTGTTAGAGTACACTCAAAACTTCATCCAGAGCTGAGAATTAACCTGGGAATGTGCGAGACTCGAAAGTTTGTGATCAATAAAGTTAAATTTTCATTAATTTTCAATTATTTTTTTTCTATTTTTATTTTTAATTTTTTTGTCTCCATCAAATTTCCAAATGGATTTTATTTTCGGAAAGCTTATTAAATTACCTTTTCAACGATGTATAATGATGTGGTAGTTATATGATAAATAGTGGATGAAATTTTATTTGAGTGGTAGTGTATTTTTGCGGCAAAATTTGTACTTTTCTTACTCTTTTTTGACTTCTACATCCGATATCTCAGAAACTAAAACTGCTAGAAGCTTGAAACTTTCAGATTCTCTTAGTTGAAATGTTTACTATCGACCAAAAATAACGAAATAAGGATTAGTGAAAGACGATTTTTTGATTTTTGACCGCCTGATATCTGATAGTGCATGTGCTCTAAGAAATCGAGCAACTCTTAGAACACTGACATTTTCTGGAACTCCGGGAACACATTTTCTACAGAAGAACTAGAAGAACTTCGGAGACCTGGCAGATTATGAAAATGTTTTCGGATCGCTGCAATGAAACTTACACGGTATTATTTTCGTATATTTTTATTTTAAATATATACCTTCTAATCTTGTATAATAATTATTACTTGCTTCCGCGTTACTCCTTCGCCGTTTTTTTTTTGTCACTGATTCATAGTTACTAATCGTTTACCGTCTCTGCTTTGCTTTCATTACAATCGTCCTATCTCTGGCTCTATTATATTTATTACTTTACTGTATAAGTGTGTGTTTGTTTGTGTAAGACTGTAATGTGTTGTTTATGTTTTTTTTTGGTTCCACTTGGTAATTTGAGTTGTATTTTTCATTTGTTGCTTTCAATTATATGTGTGTTTCCATTTTGTTTTCCCTTTGTTTCAGTATTGTTAAATTGTAATAATTGTGATTTAATATTAAAGTAATTGATATCTTCTTTTGTCCTTCATTGTAAAGAGATTTTGTTTAATATGCTTATTCCACTTCGCACTGTTTCTCTTCTTTAACTTTTTTTTTTGTAAATTTTCTTCCTTTATCGTTTCAAGTATAAAATACTTTTCTTCCCTTAAAACAATTATTCGTTTTTTTTTGCATAACTTTATACAGGTATTTAAAAATAGCCGCCGCAAAATGCGAAACGCGTTCGTTTTCTTCAATTTGTTGAAATAGTATTTTAATTTTCATTTGCAATATAATGAGATTCCTTCATGTTCAATAATAGGTGTGGGTGTTTATGCTTTTAAACTTAACCACTAGAAATTGAATTGCTATTCTTCGTTATTACGAAATCCGCTTCTTTCCTTAGCAACGCGTTTTATCTGCGATCCGAATTTTCTGTTTTACGTGGGAATTTGTAATACGGTGGTGGTTGTGGTGGTGTTGGTGACGATGGTAAAAGAGACACACAATTTCCGCGTCTTTCGGCGGTCGATTCCGGTTGAAAGTAGACAAAAGAAAAATTTTATCAAGATTGTGTGGGTTTCACATTTCTATCATATAAATAGATGTTAACGTTTACGTTACTGCGGTTTTCACACTTATTGATGGGATTCTTCGCTGATTAGTGTTGCAGCTCTATACACGGTATAAGAGAACTTTTTCAGTACAAGTTACGAAACCGGACTAAAAGTGTTACGTTAAAATACACGTCTTTCTAACTTCTTTTTTTTGTTACTGTTGTTGTTTTAAAAAACGATTCTAGCTTGCCTTATGTTCTGGTTGTTTACTTCGATTAACTCTATATTGTCAAAATTGTTGGTGGTGCGCTTCGTTAATTTTTGTTTTGTTTTGGTTTTATTTTCTGATAAAATGCTACACAATACGGGATTGAGATTGAGAGAGTGTTCGGGGGAGATAGGTGGTGCCATTGTTTGTCGTTTTTGTTTTTCTTTTTGTTTCTGTTTCTTTTCAGCACGAAAAGGCACGATTTTTGATAAGATTTTATACTTGATTCCTTACAAACTTCCAGCGTCGTTTCACCGCCGTCGCTTGCTGCGCTTTCGATTGTTTATGTTTGCGTCATCTACAATATGTGGTATGGCTCTCTATAAGCTATATTTTGAGGTTAGGATTCTCTGCTGTTGACAGTTCTGAAAAAGTCTCTTCTTCTCGGTAGAGGTGTGTTAAAAAAAAACTCAGGAAACTGAACCAATTGAAATCATGTTTTCCGATGCGCGGGAGAAGGGTTGAGGAGGGGTTTGACTGTTTTCTTCCTTTTTTTTACTAAATACAACCTATTTAACAAAATAAATAATCCACACACAAAACATTTGACTAGATTCCGATTCATCTTGTTCTTCCCTTCTTTGCTCCGTTGGTATTTTGTTTACCTTTTTTTGTTTTTGCTAGCAATTATTCAACAAACAAAAAAAAACTTGTTGCTGATGGTTTGGTTGGTAGGAATTGAAATTTGAAAGAAGAATGAACTAAGAAGAAATTTTGCGAAGTTTAGATACGTTTGCAGAATTTGTATGTTTTTCCGGAGGAGAAATTTGTATCCAAGTTTCAAACGCTTAACAGAACATATCATCGTGATTTTCTCGATTGAGTTTTTTTTTTGTCTCTTTTTTATGTATAAATAGTTCTTTTAGTATGTTTATAGTAGACTTTATAATTGATAAATATCACTAAGGTTTAATCGGCAATAAAAGTAATAAGTTTTCCGAATGCCGCATCAGCCAACTTGGTGTATTTATCGTTTAAAATTGAAATAAATTTTCTAATATGAAGGTTTTCTGCTTAGATTCATATGCTTATTGTTCTTGACGATAAAATATATTAGCATTCTTTGAGATTACTCGTTGGAGTCTAAGTGGCCGTCAGCTTAAAGAGGTTAAGTAAACGTGCCGCTTCACGCTCTCTTGATAGGTTTGTTTTGGTTCCTTTTTTGGGTTTTTGCGTGAAATGTATTGCTTTTGTGTTGGTTCGCTTATTGATTGATAAAAAGGAAATGTTTAAAATATGTTTATTGCAATGATAGTTGCATTACTTTCCCATTTTATAATAGAATAATTTACAACTAAGTTTTTTTTTTCTTTTATTACGAATAATGATAATAATAAAAGTAATAATAATCGAAGGATTCTGTTTAAATGTTACGGTTCATATGTCTTAGAGTTGAGCTTTGTTTTTCTTCATTACTTAGTAAATAATAAGTTTTGACCGTATGAACTAATTTATAATAAATAGGTTAATTTATGGTGTCAATATCAATAATAATAATAATAATAATAATCTTTCGATCAGTAAATAATTGATTACTTAAGAGCTACTATTTGCATAAGTACTAGATAATATCTATATGTAAAAAAGAACTGCCTAGCTAATCTAGCTGCTGCCGCTCTCTGTGTCTGTCTCTGTCATTGTAGTGGTTGATGATGACAATTCGCGATAGTGCACCTAGCGTCCGCTAGGGTGTGCTGCGCGTTTACTTCAGATCTTGTCGACTCCGCCGCCTAGCAGTGCCAGTAGCGACAAGGTAGAGGACGATTTCGGTAAATATTATTGAAGTCTTGCCTCTTGTAGTGCGGATGCGGCCGCAGCACCAGCTGCATTCTGGTATGGTGAGAGTCCGGGAAACCCACCGGCCGCTGCTGCAGCGGCGGCGGCTCCCTGGGGTAGCGTTGCGTATGTGTACGGGGCTGCCATGTATTGAGCGGCCGCTGCGGCGGCTCCTGCAGGCGGAATAGCATTAGCATTAAACTTACCATTGTTAGTGGATTGACCATTGAATAGCCTACCTGAAGCACTGGCAGCGGTGGCGTATGGGTACGCTTCAAACCCACTATATTGGCCAGGGTAGGGTGCAGCGGCAGCTGCTGCAACGGCGTTCTAAAACGAAGACAAAATTTCGATTAAGATCCTTCAAGAAGAACATTGAAACGTCAACGCCTACCTGGTATTCGTAGAATTGACTAGTGGCGGCCGCGATCGCAGCGGCATGTGACAGCTGGGAGGCAGGAATTTGCATCAATCCAGAGGCGGCTGCTGCGGCGGCTCCCGTTGTACCGGCGGTTGTACCCAGATACGGCGTTCCATAAAAGTACGACTGTTGCACTCTGTTGGAAGGTATGGAGATAAAAATGACTTCATTAGTGACAAACGACGAACATCCCGTACAAGGCGAAAACTACAATCAAAGAAGAGCACTAAACTCGCACATCCAAAACGGCAAACTTTGGATTAAGTTATGGAAATCAAAAAGAAGAAAAAACGAAGAAAAGAACGCCCAAACAAAAACAGTAAGAAACTAAAAACTCTCTATATTTTTCTGCTCGCTTCTCAACTCACTCGCCGGCACTCTTCCGTGCGCTGGAGTTCGGTCAGAGTTCGGAGTGTTTATTTATATTGACTGTATTTTAGGTGTGGGAAAGTCTAACACTTTGCAGTGACACGCCAAAAAAAAAGTAGTCTATTCGTTCTATTTATTCAGACCAAAAGTAAGTACACCGAAAAACAACACGATCCCTCAGAGAAAATAAGGAAAACTAAACCATAAAAAAAGGAAACTGAAAAAGTAAACAAACTAAAAAAAATCGATTAACAAAACAAACAACAGCAATAGCAACAAAGAAAAGAAAAAGAAAACTGGGAAGTCGGGAAAAACACAAGAAAGGTAAACAACAAAATAATGGTGAGATTACAAAACAATAACAAACACGCACACGCAACTTTCTTTGTTTATCTTCGTTTTAATCTTATTCACTTTGAGCTATAGTACTGCCGTAAGTTTCTGCGGATCATATAAAGCTTCAGTCATACTCGCGTGAGTGTTTACGTGTGCTACGACGGTTCGGGGCTCCAACTGTCAATCAATCGATGTTTGCAACGCGCGTCAACCAAGGCTGAAACGTTTCGGAGGGATGTCAATAAATTTAGGGCACACACAACTGTTTCAGGGGTTCATTACAGGTTAAGTGATTTGTTTCGATACTTATGAATTTGTTTCGATACTTATGATACAAAATATCAACCCCCCACCCACCCACACAGACACGTGCCTGGCATTCGTTCATTTTGAAACGACTTGAAAAGCGCCGCCTTCTTCTTGATTGTTTCATTTCGCCTGCTATGATGACTGGACCGACCTAAAGTAGAAGACAGTCATATGACGACGACCAATCCAAGCAAGCCGCGCGCCGCAAAGAGAACAGAAGAAAATCATCGAGATTCTTTTTTCTTTCTAGCTGTCCCTTTGTAAAGACTCATTCCCCCCACTTGAGTGAGGCGATAGAGATCGCTCGCTGTACAACGAATGATAGAAGGGAGTCAACCTCCGCCTTCACGTTTTGTCACTCGCGCAGCAAAAGCGACTGTAATAATAACAACAACGTCAAGCCGCATGAACAATAACAACAACACGGTTAATCTGTGATGGTGGTGGCGTTGTTAATCCGCAAGCTGTTGTCGTCAATTATCGCCCCACTGTTGTCAACGTCGCCATTTTGTACCGCCATTCATTCCCCGAGGGGCAGACCTTCAAACGTTCATTTCCCTCGAGTGCTCCTCTATCGGACCCCGCCAAGACTACAAGACAAAACCAAGTCAAGACATGTACGACATGCGAAAAAAGCGGTCTTCTTAATTGAGTTGAAGAGATTTTCCCCATCGTCCTACCCCCTAGTCTTTTTGGTATATCTTTTCGCTTGTTGTTTTCAGTGGTTGTTTTTCCTCGTGACACACTCACGTCACACCGATAGAAGCGAGGACGACGACGACATGTGATTTTGCGTGGTCTAACCACTTCTCTATCTGTCACTCGACACTCCACATTAGATATTGAGTACCCAGGAAATTAGTACCCTCAATTCGAATCGATTTTAAATTTAAAGTCCTCTGTCACCTTCTCGAGCGCAGCCAGAAACCAATTAATAACCCTTACCGACATAAATCTCTATAAATTCGTCCGTTTTATGCATGTTGCATCTGCAGCTTCTTCTTCCAGGTTTATGTAATTTGGCGTATGAAAAACTGAGTCACGACACGGCGACTAGGATTGGTTTTTGGAGTGCAGTTCGGAGATCAACCCATCGGTGACCGGCGGCCTTTGATGGACCGTTGCCAGGCGATTAATATTGATGGACTTGACGTTTGTCACTTCTAGCACTCTCTTCGGGGGGTCCTTCGATTTCGAAATTTACAAATCACAGCTGGTGATTCATTCCGCTTCGAATCGTGCCTATAATAGCAATTGCACGAAAAGTGCAGATGATAATACCAAGTTTAATGGACCACGATGATAATATACAACACAGGAAAACAGGGCACAGGTACATACGTGTCTCCATGTGGGCGAGAAAAGCAACACCCATTTGAACCGGCAATTATTGGTGTGTCGTTCGTTCGGAGGTTGGTTCGTCGGTCATGATGAATAATTGACAATATTGCTTGCTGAGTGTGCGAGCGCGGTTGCGCTTCGCCTATTGACTATTTCCCCCCACCCCCCACATCAACTTCCCTCGAAAACCACGAGCAACTGACGTTGGGAGAGGAACACAATTTTATGTGAAAAAATCTTGATGGTTTGTAAAGTTGTAAAAAATTTCGGAGGAGTTTTACTGCAAGTTAATTGGTTGAACAATTTGGTTCTCTGTTGCAAGCTAACCTTATGCGAAGAAAATAAGGAATTTCCAAAGGATGTTTGGAGAGTTGTTTAGAGGCAGTCGAGAAGTCTTTCTACCTCACTTTCTACTTAGTGCAGTGGATCTCAAACTTTTATCGATTGCTACCCACAGAAGAAATTCCATAAGCTCGCGGCCCACTTTTATTGAATACGCATGTTGTAAAGCGAATATGACATTAAGTTCTCCCAAAACAAAATTTAAAACGTAAAATAGAACCTTCAAACTTTATGACTGTTTGAAACGCAAGTACAGAATGGCATTGAAAGTTCTTGAAATTGTAAAATAGCAATAACAAAAAATACAAACATGGCCTCAAATTGCTGCAATGGTTTTTTTTTAACGTCCTAAAATTGAGAATTAATTTTGAAAACATCTAAATAGCCTTGAAAAATTTGAAGCCCAAAAATTGATTAGCAATCGCTTAACTTAACTAGCTTACTACTACCTGAGTGGCTTTAAATAGTTTTAAAAACATCTTAAACTACCAAATATTTTAATAATCTTGAAAACGACAACTCTCATAGTCGGGCCTTCAACCGCCGAAAATGTAAAAATGTCCTAGACTTTCCAAACTGGATTAACAAATTCCGAAATTGTGCTAAAACACCGAAAATGGCCCCAAAAATGTAAAAAATGATCCAAAATGTCAAAATGGCCTAAAACACGCCAAAAATGGCTTAGTCACGTTAAGAGAAAAAAAAAAACTACAAGGGATAACCCTATGGGGTTGTACGCAATGGTGACGTAGGACTACGTGGTCTTATATAATAAATCTTATTTGTTAACTGCAGCAGGAGCTTGTGTTTTGTGTAGGAATAGGAATTTGAGCGGGGTTCTATCTGTTTATACTCTTTAGCATGACGCGCTTGACATAGATGGCCCACAGCGACTCACGAAGAGCTACTGATTCCAATCAATAGCGGTGCGGCTTCTTCCTCCTTTTATGGATGCCCATGTGGGCTGCAGCTTACTGCCTGCAGGCAGCCTTTCGTTGTGTACTGGAGAACACCACCACAGACCACGCGGTGAGACCGGATGGAATTCAACTTTGAAATCTGTGTTAGGGAAATCGCTTTTCGCAGGCAATCGGTGATATTTTTAATTATCATAGCAACAGTTGCACGATCGTTTAATTTTCAATAGTAACATTTTGAAAGATGATAAAGTCTTAATTTTAACAGATTTGTAGCAAGCCTATCGATTGCCGTATTAAGAATTAAAATCCATCATCTCTGGATCAAAATCAGACCACTTTCATGCCGCGACCGACTTTGGTTTTTTAAATTGCACCTCCAATGTTGCCTTCAAGAACATAGTATGTTAGATTTAAACATATCTAGATAGAGCTGGAATTAGGTGTAACAGCTTTTGTAAACAAAGACTTCTCTCAATGATTTTTAGGAATTCAAGGCACGCCCACGCAAACCAACATTACCGTTGATTTGCGTGGGCGAGCCTTGATTTTCAAGGCATCATCGAAAGAAGTCAATGTTTACAAAATCTGTTCCGCCCTAATTCCAGATCTATCTTGATATGGAAACTGACATACGATTGAGCAGGCTTGCTGAAACTCCCCAAACTCACTGGAGGTTTTAAAACACGCTTGTCCTGCGAGTTTAGCCAGCTCTCACTTTGAGTGAGTGGCGGCAGGAATATGGAAGAAGTAAACAAAAACTCCTCAAGAGAGAGGGAGAGTGCACTTCAGCGAGAGGATGATTCGACGTGAGGTGCGCTTTTCGAGACTCCGGCTGACTTTTTTGTTCGACGCAAGAAGCTCAGAGTTCATCCAGAGTGAGAGTAAGAGCGTGTGAAAGAAAGCATGAACATGAATGACAGCAAACCTCACTCTCATTTTATCCCCCTTCGCTCACAAGCTCTGAAGCTCAGTTCAATGATTTGGCAGTAGGCATTCTACTCCTCAGAAAAATGCTACGCTCGGTTCATTTCAAACTCACGAGCGAGGCTCCATCAAGCCTGCAATTGAGACTTTCACAAATGTCAAAAAAATACTCTTTTATAAATTTATGGTGGTCCTGAAAAGGACCGTTTTGTGGTTGAGTAATGCTGAGCCATTAGTGTGTCAAACACATATGAGGCTGATGAGTTGTATGTTGTTTGGAATGTGGGTGACGCGCTTGGCATAGAAGGCCCACAGCGACTCACGAAGAGCTACTGATTCCGATCAATAGCGGTGCGGCTTCTTCCTTCTTCTATGGATGCTCATGTGGGCTGCAGCTCGCTGCTTGCAGGCAGCCTTTCGTTGTGTACTGGAAAACAATGTTGAACGCCACGCGTCAAAAGCCCCGCTACTGCTGCTGTTGCTGATGCCGACGACTGGACACCACCACACACGGTGATTGGATGAATCCGATCAGCGGTTGAGGGCAGCTTTAATAGCTAGCTTGCGGGGAGCCTTCCGTTGCGTATTGAAGAAC